CATGACCCTGCAGAAGATCTACCCGCTGCACAAGATATGCCGGGCTATTCGGATTCTCACTCGCGCGCATTGCGTTTGATAGTTCGCCTTGGACAGCCTTTCGGTGCATTTTTGCTAGCGCGGCAGCGCGATGGAGAATTCAAGAGGATCGCGTCGGATCATGATATCATTGCACAGGTTAAAGACATTACTTCTGTGGACAACATGATGGACATCAGGTCTCTAGAGATATCGTAGCTGTATGGAGTCTCTTAAAGATATCTGATCGGTTTTCGTTTGTATCTTGACGATCAAACTTGTATGGCGTCATATATGCATACACAGATACTGATTTGACAGCAGACGTAATCAGTCAATGACCTAAAGAACCGTGTGTCTGTAGTTGAATTATTGCCAAGTTGGCGTAATACTTTGTCATAAGACCACCTGTGTCATCGGACACCATGCCTAGCTTCACGATGATTGCATTTGAACCAGCAATATCTCTATGGGATTTCTAAGTTGCCTTGATAGATCCAGGTGAAAACCCAGAAACTGCGCGGGCACGGGCGCACAGCGTCCCCCACTAGATGGAGCGACTTGTGCTGACTCCAAACCTCCAATAAACCTATCAGAACTTAGAAGGAGTCAATATGCCATATTAATGCGCATCGGGATTGGAAATATGGATACCAAACGCCATGTAAGATACATGACGCTTGCGAGAGATTTTAACAACTCGTTTTCGCGTGCTTTTAGCGGCGACAGAACTACAGTTGATAATAAAGCACAAGTGTTAGCAATGTTACATGCATATACATCAAAACTCTTGCCTTCCCGTAAAAAGTCTGATGGTTCACAAGGACGTTTGTTTATTCAGGATGATCGTTTACCTTCACTCTACCTTCCACAAGATTGATAGACTGAGTATGCTCATGAAAGCGCCATTCTTGAAGAGTCTCAGCGGAGTGAAGTGCTCCGTCGCAATGCTCTACACGCAACATGGTTTCCTTGAGAACTGAAGTTTGCAGTGCGTGCTAAGGTAAGGAGCACTGGTGATCCCTTCGCCTACAGGAGAGGAATATCAGCCGGCCTTGAGTGAGTGAGGGCCCCCCTTTGGGTGGGCCTCAAGGGGATGTGTCTCATACTGGACAAAGCGCTCTGCATACTAATGCTTGTAATCAGCAATGATGAATGAAATAAGGAAGGAAAGTAGGAGGCGGATGAAGGCTCGAATGGCCACCGGGAGATGCAATGTTCACATTCAATGAACCGTTCTCGCCCGTTCCAGGTACTAGTAACTAGTAGGGAAAACGCATACAAAGTTAACGTATCGACGCAGAATGTTAGCAGCGTACCCGCAATGCACTGATTCCTGACGCGATCACGACTGGACGAACAAATTTAATGCAACTGTTTAGCACCAGCAAACCTACAACTATTAACAGCACTATCCTTGAATAACAAACACAAACTTTCCTAGCCGTAATCCGCAAGTTCAGGGATAGACTGTACGATGGAAGATCACCAATCCGAGTCAAACTGCTCTTATCGTCAGATCATCGGCAACTCCGATGTCCCTCCCCCTCAAAGGTATCAACCGAAAACATGCTGCCCATTATAAAACTGCTGTGCAGACTGCCAAAGTCCCGGGGGGGGGAGGATGCTGTCATCCGTCAATATTTATTTCTAAGACAGAACCACGTCTAGCAAAATTTGAGGTTCCAGTTCGATTTGCTTCGTATGGTCAAGTGATCGCTCGAGCTACACGGTTGTGAGTTGACAATGTCGAAGTCTATGTGAATCTACCTCGCAAGCTACACATTGCAGATTGGAAACATAGAGGCGACCCCATCAACATTGAAGCTCGAGCCACCGTTGAACAGCCTGGATGGTGTTAGCGAGACTCAGGACCGAGTCCCAGAATAGTACTCACCCAGGCTCTCCTCCAGAGATGTTTAACTAAACACTGGTTTTACGTACTGAAGATCACCGAGCCTCCTTACTGGCTTCTCTACCCAAGTATTCATATACCAAACGGTCCAAGGACTATGGCTACAAGTGAACATATCACAAAGTCGTAGACAGAGATATGTATGCAGGCGATAAGATCCTTAGATGCGGGCTCCGTCATTCCGGAGGCAGACCATCCATTGTTTCGTCTCCATTGGCATGCACTAATCATCATTCACGAAAGAGATGGGGCATGACACTCTAGAATAATTTTGAGTCAATCAAAGATCGATCACGCAACGCCTTGGCACATGATAGTCGGGATAATAGCTTTGGTAAAAGAACTGGTGTGAACCTCACGTGGTCTTTTAGCGGTCCAGTTACAGGGACTATTGATCCCATGGTAGATGGCATTCCAGAACACCCGCGATGGCAGTCCTTTGAACGCATGGCTCGGTAGGATCTGCGGTGAGGGCTCGCCGAGGTCAGCGACCATGTTGTACTGGTACTTGTGTGATACAGAATCCCAATGACGGTGGACTTGTGAGGGGATCGGGGAACGAGAGAACTGAAATCAGTTTGACCAGTAGTGGGCGAAGCTCAAAGTAGAGATGAATTGCGAGCAGGGCGCCGGAAGTAAAGCACTCTTCCGTAATAGAATTAGTGACAAGTTTGAAACGCCAGAAGAGAAAACTTCGGCTTCATCTGGTGCACAAGCAGATCTTGGGAGTTGACATGATGAAGGGGTGACATCGCAGTAAGGTATATGCATGCGTTCGAAAGAGTGATATGGCGATGTGCTGAAGTAGCTGCTCGATACGGAAAACCACGATATCCATACACTCATGTAAGATAGACAGTCAGATTCGGGCGCCAGGAAGCACCAACTGCTCTATTGGATGCGATGGGATATATTCTAGAAGCTTTGAGACAAGAGTCGGATGCATGTATGCACTGAGGCGCGTGGAGGACATGCCATCGAGGACGGCGAGTATGACGATGACGATATAGGGTGCGTTCTTGCCGTAACGGTGATGGAGGTGCGGAGCCGAACAGCCTTGTGTCCTGGGCGTCTATGGAAACGAGGCAGGTTAACAGTGAAGCAGCATAAAACGCACGATACACACACTTCTGCAGCTTAAAGTAAGAGACCCACAATTCCTCCAAAGTCCACTTCGACCGTTCTCAACGCAATCAACCTCTAGTAAATGCTAAAGCTCATTCCAATCACTACATCCCTGCGAGAGTTCAAAGGCCATGAAGAACGCATAATGGCAGTCGCAGTGTTCCCCGACAAACGACGGATGATTACGGGCTCAGAGGACAAGACGCTTCGTCTGTGGGACTTGAATACAGGTGTTGTGTTGAAGAAGCTGGAGGGGCATCGCAGCGGGTTGTCGAGATTGGCAGTATCACGAGATGGGCAATTGATAGCAAGCGGTGATACTGGAGGAGAAGTTATCGTCTGGCACGGAGAAACTGGAGAATCGCTCACCCAACCCATCAATGCCCACTCGGATTGGATCTCGCTGGATTTTTCTCCTGATGGAACAGTGCTGGCCACTGGTTCGTTGGACAAAACGATAAAACTGTGGAATACCAAAACCTGGGAGCAACAAGGAGATCCGATTGAATGTGGTAGTCGTATCCGCTGCTTACGGTATTCGCCGTCTGGAGAACTTCTTGCCATCGCAACAGAAGACAATATCCAAATTTATAATTCAGACACAAGAGAACGCGTCGCATCCTTCAATCACACTTTATGGAACTACTCACTCGTGTGTACCCCCGATGGCACACGCCTTCTCACAGGCGGCATTTTGGACGACCCTACCATACGTGAATGGGATACAACAACCTGGCAGCAGGTCGGTGATCCCTGGACGGGCCACTCTGACCTTATCCATACCATCGCCGTCAATACTGCTGGTACATTCATCGCCTCCACATCTTATGACAATCATGTCCGTCTCTGGCGACTCTCAGATCGACGAACTGTTGCCACCTTCAAACATACATCCCCGACGGGATCCGTCACTTTCTCTGTGGACGGCAGGCACATCCTTAGTGGTAGAGACGATAAGATGATCTTAGAGTGGGCAGTACCTAACGACATCAATTCAAAGGTGCGTTTCCGTCCTTGACTCATATACCAGAACTCGAGCATTTTTCATGCAGATCCTGCCCATCACGACAGCCCGCACTGCATGCATAGATGGTGACTTATCTACCGCCGAAGAACTACTCACACAAGATATCAACGCTGATGTGAACAACCATACTTCCTACGCTCATCGCTCATTCGTTATGGCGCGAAAACATGACTGGGACCACGCCCTCCAGGATGCAATCAAGGTAGGATATACTCACCGATCATGGCCCCCTTACGAAAGACTAACTCGATGGTGACATAGTCCATCAGCATTCAGCCTTCATTGACAGGCTATATCTCCAAGGGTATCGCCCTCTGCGGAAAAGGCGACATTCGGGACGCAAGGGCAGCATTTGATGTTGCATTCATGTACACGGACCAAGATTCAGAAACCGTTCATTTCCTACTCTTGATCAAGGTACATTCCAGTTGCCTCACATACAGTCTGCTTTATTCTGTGTTTCAGGCCATTGCTCTCTTCAGTGCGGATCAACGCGACGAAGCAAACCTGCTCCTTGAAGAACTCACCGCCGGTTGTCCGAATGCCGATACTCGCGCATGTGATATCGTGCAAGTAAGTATCATGCAGCTACGCTTGGTCGTCAATGCTAACCTTTGCAACTTCACACATAAGGCATATCTACGTGTTCAACTTGGAATCAAAGCCTTGGATGGCGCACGTCATGACGAAGCCGTTGACCATTTCACTGCTGCTCTCAACTCCAGCAATTTATCATCGAAATCGGATATTCATGAAGTATACGAGGACTTGGTGGTGGTATGTCAATACACATCCGAAATGCTATTCCTTACCGAGTCCCTTGTCCAGCTCTTCGGCTGGGATCTCAAATCCTTGTGGCTCACTGCACATCAGAAACGGTGCCAGGCTTTCCTTTCCGCGCGCAAAGTCGATGAAGCTCTCGAATCATACAAATCTATAATGGACAACATCGAGAACACAACGAAGGCCAGCTGCCTCGACTGGTCCACTGGCAAGCCTTCAGTAATCTCACCGAGGCTATAGTCCTCACCCCCACCTCACCCAGATTTCCAGAAACAATGTAGTGCGCTCGCTGCATCCGATGACCGTATTCTTCGCGTATGTCCTCCATTATTCAACCCTTTCGCTACTGACCGATTTGCAGGCAGAGATCCCTGGCCAAGATCCATATGGCTACGATGCAGAACCAGATTTCTTCCGGGGAATGCATGGAGTACGTGCTACAGTGTATTCTTCGAGTCACTCGCTGACATCGTTCATTACAGCATCCTCAAATTTTTAGACCACGATCTCAGCAGCGCCCTGGGCGCTTCAAGAACTTCAGGCTCACTGTGACAAGGAGCCCTCGGTCAGGTCCTCCACCAGCATCGACACCAGCACTGCCCACCGCCTTGCCACCAGCTGCCGAACCTACCGCTTTCAAAGCTCAGCTACGACACTTATTCACCTGGCGGTCTGATCATGCAGCGCCGGCCATCGTCACGGTCGATGTTCCTTTCGCGCAAGCTAAAGAGGTACGCTCTGTTGATGTTCATCATTCTGTCTTCAGTGTCTCATGCTTAAATATACAGCGCAATGCTGCAGCGGGTGCTCCTAAGCCAGACGAGGATGTGGTACCTGATGAATACCTTGATGATCACCCACCAAACCCCGATACACAACAGCAATCTACAGTAGCGCAGGTAGACACTGGGGAACATGGAGGTGGGTGTTGCTGCTGTTAGAGAGGTTTCGTAAACATTCCCCAAGTATTTCCGTTCTATTATCGCTCGTATTGTGATATCCACTTGGACTTGAAGCAGTGTTTTATGAAGATAGGCATTAGATTACTTCTCGTCCTAACCCATAGTTGATTATTAACCTTGTATCCTCCACATGTAACGCTTGGCCTGCCCAGTGCGAGCGGGATGGCAGACGACAGTCCCTGTCCCACGTGCAACTAATTTGTCATATATGTGCTCATGCACTCACTACATTTGAGATCACTGCAAGCCGCGTCGTGCGGGCGATGCGGCAGAAAGTCTTGCCGACACGGTACTTCTGCGAGAAGCCAAAGTTTCGAGCTCAAGGACAAGTACATTGTTAGATGAACGCTGCGCACCACATACTTGCATCTGTGTCATAATGTTCCTCAGCGTGCCTTGGAAGTGTCAATCACAGTGAGGAATCAGAATAGTAGTAGTACTTGAGAACATGCACATATGAATGACTTCACATTGATTTGATGAGAATCGGGACACCTACAATAGACTCGTGGCTGCTGCTGTGCCCTGGCCGTAGTATCGACACCACTTCCTCCCTTTCCTGCCCTTTCTCGAACTGCCAAGGAGCCTTCCTCCACTGGCCATTGAGAGAACTGCGGTAACTAGCTCTCTGCGGTCCTGCTAGGGATAATATCGGCGCTACCTGCATTGTGGATGTCATCCTACTTACAACCAACTCTAGTGATGACATATTTTTAGACAAGATCGCTCGTCCACGCGTGTCGAGTTGGCATGCACATAGTTTCCATGTGTTCTTGCATCCGCGATCGAAAAAGTAGATGCGCTTGCAGATGTCATTGGCAAGCTGAAGAGTTTCAGAGACGGTGGCTTCCCTTGACGGTGTCCACTAGACTGTCATCCAAGGTAATTCTTGCCATTGTTCTTAGGAATTTAATCTGCAGTGACTTGCGTGACCAAATCAAAACGCAATGGTGCAAGTCATGTCAGAAATGTGTCATGGACCGTCATCAGTCATAGCCGGACGAAGAGAAATCGGGCAAGCGCATGCAGTACTGCCAGTTTGTGCAATTCCAACACATGCACGAACTCAGAATCGTTAAGCATTAGTGGTACTCAGAATAAATCTTGAAACTCCTTGAAAACTCGCCTAAAGCTCGGCTACTTCAACAAAACACAGCATGAGCATGTGCTGCAATTGAAAGTCAAGCCGGCATCGCACATCGGAGTTCGAAAAACATGCCTGTTGTTCACCAACGTGCTCGCCGGTCTGCACGACTTAGAGCCAACGCTCATCCATGCGCGAGGGCGATGGACCATCTGCCATCCACCCGATCAGCGGCGCCTCGCCCTTACCGGCAAACGGCCTGTCCACCTTCCGCCTCCTTATCTGTCTCCATGGAGGCACCCTCACGTTGGAGATGGAGTCATCGGACACCATCAACAACGTGAAGGCGAAGATCCAGGACAAGGAGGGCATCCCAACTGACCAGCAGCGTCTCACCTTCACTGGAAAGCAGCTCGAAGATGGCCGTACTCTCAGTGACTACAACATCCAGAAGGAGTCCGCCCTTCACTTGATCTTGCGTCTCCGCAGAGGCACGCAGATCTTCCTCCCGATGCTTTTCATCCCCCCCCACTGCTCAGCATCCCCCCCTCCTCCACTCGGCACTTATTTGGTCCCTCCCGCGCTCCCTACCTACAGCTGATTTCATTCCCGCGGGCCTTGTTTTTTTTACAATTTTATTAATGCTTTCATTTGAAATACAATTATGTTGGACCGCTACTCTACCACTTTCCCCTATGTACATAGCACGCTTTGAAAAATCACAAGTGTCGTTTTAAAGTCCGACTACATGCCGACGTGTGCCGAGCACATTTCTCTCGGACTTGCGCGAGTTCTTTCAAACTTTAAGCGGGGAGTTGAAGGGAGTTGAACGCAGTTTAGCGAGTTTTCAAGAGTTTCAAAATTTATTTTGAGTACCACTTATCTTCGGAACCAGGAAAGATTGTGCATAACTGTGATTAAGACATGGGATTTCAATGAGAGTGCTGATACGACAGGAACATGGCATCGTCGTTGTAAAAACAAAAGTCAAATTAGTTAAGTAATTATATGAGGTCACAATCACGTGATGAATCACGTCGCGTGTAGCTGTCACAGTGACTTCGACCTTGTCTCTTATAGTTATCACTGAATCCAATCCGAATTCTCTGCATGGACCTTGATGAAGTAGTGGATACATCTGACGCTGAAGAACGCGAATTTGATATCTCAGAGGCAGATTGTCATACCTGTTTCTCCCCCAAGAAGACGCGACTAAATTCAAGACATGCCACCAAGTTGCATGGGAGGTTTAATGACAGGCAAGAAGGTCAGCCCTCTCCACGGAAGCGTGTCAAGGTAGAGTTAAATTTTTCACATCAATCTTACTGCGGTACTTATTGCTATTGCTTCTCAAGACAACTCACAGCGAATCCGAGTTGCAGCTGATTATCGATCTCAGTTCGTCGTCCCATGCATCGCCTGTGAAACCTACCACATCTTCTGCGCTGTTTGCAAGGGCAACGCACTCGCCAATGCGGGCTGCGTTTAACCCTGCATCCAACCTATCACTTCCAGCTGCCGGTGCACATGAAGCGTCATCGCACAACGAGACTCGATCCACAGATACTCAGGAGCCCAGTTTCAACGACCTAGGCATCCTCCCCTCATTGATTCCAGCTGAATCGGAAAATCTGTCGTACCATCCTATTACTTCAGTCGATGTGCAGCAACAGGCTGATCACCAGTTGCCGCTTCCTGATTCCTCTCAACCTCAGCTAGATGATGCCCTCTTCCCGTCATCGCCCACCTCCGTGACGTTTCCTTCTCAAGCTCTTGCTTTTTCTCAGAGCCCAGCACCTCTTGCTCTATCTCAGCACGAGGGACTAGTTTCGAATTCATCCCCTTCCATTTCGCGCCCAGCAGACTCGTGGTCGTTGTTTTCTTCTCCCCCGGGGCCCTCAACGCAGTCGTCCCAGGGACCTATTCCCAAAAGTATTCGAAAGCATACTCATATGCCCCGAGACTCTCCACCACGCACTCCACATCCATCTGATCATCGGTCTCCATCCCCTGACGAACTGCTTCTAATCTCTCCTGAATCCCGCTCAAAACGCCTGTTGACCCCAATCACCCCAATAGCTCAAGACCCTTCATCCCCTGCTGTACAGTCGCGGGATCGATTACCACTTCCCCCTCCTCCACCTGTTCCGCCGCCACCACCTCTCGTTATCCCTGAGGACCCAGAACCAGTCAGTCGTTACTCCCTTCGCCGCAGGGAGGCACGTCAGCTTCAACCGTACGCGTTTGACAAGGCGCAGTACAAGGCGCAGATGAAGGCAAACCCCGATGCTATCGTGAAGTTTGTGAGTCCGCAGCGTCGCGAGATGCATGGAGAAGATGGGTCACAGTGGGCGGATGGGGAGACGCAAGGTGGAACCCAAGCAAAGTATATCTTTCCTGTTGACAATCCGGAGGAGGACCGAGATTACGTGGATGTAGAAGGAAGGAGGCGAAAAAAGCGAGTCACCATTGCTGAACTTGATCATGATAATCGTGAACGGGAGGAAGGATGGCTCCCTGAGGCTCTGAGAGATCTCTCTGAAAGCGACGAGATTGAAGGAACAGACGAGGTTCGTAAGTTGGTGAGGGAGGCGAAGAGGGCTCGGAAGAAGGCCGAGGCTGAGGCAAAGAAGAGGGAGAAGGAAGAAGCCCTCCTGAGGGCACAGGAAGAGGCAGCCGGTAGAGAAACTGCCAAGAAGAGACGTTTGAAGAATTTTCCGCTGGAAGCGTCATCGTCAAAACAGCCTGTTGCGGGACCATCTTCAGCATCCTCGAGACGGACTCCATCTCGCTTAGACGAGGTAGGATTCATTTGGATACACTTGTTATGTGCTGACGTGCTGAATATCTTCCATTTCAGTGGTCACCGCCAGTCCTATCCAGGCTTTTAAAGGGAAAGCAACGTGCTACATCGTCTCCTTCCCGCTCGCTCTCGCCCTCACTTTCCCTTCATTTTCGTCCTTCACAGCTTCAAGTCTCATTCGCCGGCAAGGAATCCTCTTCTGACTGACGAATACGAATATCAACAAGATGACGACTACGACTATTATAATTTCTTCGACCACAACGACCACAACTCGATCAGCGCGGAGAACGTCAACCCTAATACCGACAACGATGCGATTGAAATTCCCTCGGCACCGTCGACACCACCACGCTCCTCGTCTACATTACCTGACGGGGACGACCACTTGGATTTATCCGATGATCCGCCCGCCCGTGAGCCCTGCAAGGAGTTCAGCAGTCTTTCTCCCGAAATCTCCTCCAAAGATCGCAAACGTTTCCGACTCCTGCAGCGTATGATGCCTACTGTCATGATCAAGAAGCAGCTCGAGCAGCAAGGTTCCAAAATGAAAATTCTTGCCAATACGAAAAGGGCGCGTTCTCCAACGCCGTCTGATAGTAGCGACGAGCCCTTGAGACCTGGACATGCACGCGTCCGAATGGGTGCTGGTAGTCGTGATGTTGTGGTTCAGGGAGACCCCGAGAGCTCGGATGTCGAAATTCCTAGAGATGAGGACATGGATGTTGATGCATGAGGTATCAGACATCGTATCACAAGTTCGGGCGTCTCCCAAAGTCAGATCAAGATCCCCGGTCATTAGCATCTCTTCCAGTTCCGGGAGTGTATCAGAGAGTGATGATGAGGACAGCGATGGCATGATTGACGATGCACGAATCGACGCGTGGAGCCGGAGTCGCCGACCTATGCGCGAGAAGAGTCTCATTGACTGGATGCTTACGCGTACCAGGACTGTGGGTGGCGGGAGGAAGCAGAAGACCAAGTCAAGTCGGAGGTCCCGAGGTTCTGGTGTAAAATCCCGAGACATGGGTGAAAGCAGGAGTGGACGTTCAAGGCCAAAGCTCAACATTGTGACAGGTGGCGCGCGAATGGGCAACCAGACCCTTCTCTCGTTCCCCACAGTTTCTTCTGACTATGACCGCCGCTCTCAGCATTCACATCATAACAAGGTCCATAAGAGGACGGAATCGACAACACCGGCGGAGCACGAGTCCAAGGCGCTACGGAAGGAACAGAGAAAGAAGAAGCGCAAGCAAGCCAAGGGAGAGCTCTACAGCTTCCACCAATCTGGCACGCGTATTGCGCGAAGGGGTTTGCGAATTGATCTGGGTGATGAAGGATTCCACCAGGTGCTGGACCCGACTTGGAGGAAGGAGATGGATAGGTGGCAAAAGCAACCCGGATCAATGCAGCAGCGCGCGTCTTCGATCTCATCTCGAGTTCGTCGAGACGATGCTCAATCTAAGCGCCAGCAAATTTTATTTTCGCGTGTTGATTCCAAACCTCAATCTGGTGTTGAGTCCAGTCAGGACGAACGCCAGAGAAAATCACATGCTCGGCCACGTCCCCCACCCTCCCGCGTCGATTCGCGTCGTAGCCATGTTGACTTTGATTTCCCACTAGATCCGCTACGCGAACGATCACCACCTGTGCGGAGGAAGGGTTATAACGACGTCCACGAGTTTATACATGCTGTAGATCAACGGACGTTGTTGACCACAGTCGACTTGGGCATCGATATTTTGCCCTCAGGGATTGCGTTCTCGGTCGGAACATATATTGGCCGCGGGTTTCTTCACCAGCTGATATGCCTCATTACAGGGCATGCTCAGCCTGTTGCTCCTATGTCATACGTTATTCGAGGGTTCGACCTTGGACCTGATACATCGGTGCATGTTCTTACGACTGTAATCGCACCCTTGTGCGACCAGCTCGCGGATGATGTGCTCAAAGAACATGAATGGACGGCTGCGGTTGGGAAGGATTGGGAACTCGCGATGCGAACGGTGTGCCAGTTGGTATCGTGGCTGTGTCTCAGCATCGACGACCAAGAATTCAGTTCGCTGGAGCTCACAGTACACGAAACCATGGGTTCTCTGGTGGCGCGGGTGTTGGAGGCGGATATTCACCACTTCTCATTGCCTGTTTGCTGGTTTGCAGTAGAGCTCGCTGCCCGAATCATGCACGCCGCAAGGACTCGGCGGGGGTCATCAGAGACCCGAGAGTTGTTCAAGTTCGCGCTCTTGCTCATGCGGCCTCTGTCAGACGCAGACCTCCGGGAAATTCTAGCATCGTTTAAGGAACCCGATGGCCCTCTAGAAACCAACTCAACTCCCGTTCAAGCTGTAGAGTCATGGATATGCCTCTTTCACCTCTTGATTAACTGCATGTCTGAGTCTCCTGGCAAACTATCATCAGAACCATTTTGGCTTTTGTTCAAACAATTGATTCAAGACGAAGCATCATCGTTCGCCACTGCAGTTGAGGCGAGCGAGTACAATTGGCGGAATATTTTTTCTTTTTGTGCGCTCTCGCAGTTCTCTGTGCACGGGATGTCGACATCCCTCAGCAGAATCACACCTTCATGGGAAACGGTTTTGGCTACTCTGAAGCTCATCTCCCTTGTTGCCGATCCACAGAAGGATGCACTCACACATACTGCGTCTCTGAACAAACGAGACGAGTACGTCTCCATTATCGCTTCCCGATGCTTCCTCCTGTGGAAACGTTGGCATTGGAGTTTGGACGACGCGATGACAATGTTCAACCATCTTGTGGAAATCTTCAGGAGCCGTAGATTTGCCAGCCTCCGCCACGAGCAGCCTAAATTTATGCAATTCATGGTGCAAAGGGACATATCTTTGCTTTCAGTACAAGACAGGGGCGACAACGTGTTCGAGGTGCTCCTCAAGATGATCGTACAAGTTGCGCAAGCAGGACAGCACAAGTGACGTGGAGAAAAAACACCGGGACATACAAGTGAAGAAAATGCTGAACATGGTTGTTCCAGTTGGCTCGGTGTCATCGACAAGGGCCGTTCAGCCGACTGGGCAAGAAAGTTCTATGCTTTTCAACCGACTCAACGCTATGGCGGTCGCTATTCATCTTGATCCCTCTATCTCCAACGTTCGACACCGTGTTGGGCAAGCTCGACGATGCGTCAACTTCAAAGATGCACACGATTTTACTAGGGCTGTGTGCATTCGAGGTATTGAGCATATTTGTGCTGTTATGCGTCATCACCGCGTGCAGCTTGGAGAGATTCTCAGTTGGCTTGCCGAGGTTACCGGCATCCTGCTGGATGAATACCAGGAGGCGCGCATACTAACAAATAAAGACAACAAGAATATCGTGAAGAACAAGACGGTGGAGATGGTCAAGAGTCTTCTCACGTCGGTTGTTCGCATGATTGAGATATGCTCACTGGACACTACGGATGAACGACACGAGTATCCAAATCCTGCCTTTCTTGAAGGACGTGAGTGGTTGACTAATGTCAACGAGATATTTCCTGACTTGCCTTCCTCGTCAGCATGGGTAAAAGACGTCTTCAGTCCTAAAAATCCTATCGCCATAGAGAATGACTCAAGTGCTGCGTGCCAAGAGTTGGTGTCAGCTTTTCTGGATGCTCGAATGAGGGCCTTACCCCGGCCTACCGCACTGCCAATATCACCGAGTGTTGATAATCAGGAGAGCCAGGACGAGTACGACAAGTTCTTCATCGACTTGAACGACCCTGCAATCCTAGCTGCTCTTGGCGACGAGCCTGCACAAACTTCTGGAATGGAGTGGAAGCGGAAGGAAGAGGCGGTTTGCAAGGTCACTTTCGTTGTTCCTCCTATATTTTTCCTGACTGACAGGTTTCAGGTCTGTGGCCCGCTGGCTTCAGCAATATTCCGGGTTGTTTGCAGATATGTAGTCGACTCCCCCGCTCCAAGTACAGTCGATAGTCGCCGTGAGACAGCTGATAGATGGATTGATTGTTGGGTGGGAGTCGGAAATGTGTTGGTTCAGAATGGATCGGTTTGTTTTGATACCTGTTTTGACTGCTGCTACTCAGCTTTCCCTTTCTAGAGTTGGAAAAACCACATGCACCTTGGACCTGAATCATGGGAACGGATACCTGATCCCTTATGGCGTCGCCGGGTTGGTCTTCGATTCTGTCTCGCACTTCTCAGACTTGACTCGAAGGCTTATCATGTAAGTCGAATCTTTATTCTCGTAGAAAAATTCTTATCTCCGAAGGCATACGAGGACTACTTTATCGAAGTTCTCCTCACATGTACTGTTCCCTTTAAGACGACAATTGAACACGAGTATGCATCCATCGTATTCACTCTGGACGGTCTTCGACACCCACTTCTACGTGGCGTGCTGGCCGAGCCGTCTACCGGATCATCTACATTCGAGATATCGCTAGAAGAATATTTGACAGTCCGGCAGACGCTGATTGAATGTGAGAATCCATTCATTAGAGTTAAATACTCCACTCATCGTCAACCAGCGGTATTTGCCAATCTTGCCGACCGTTTGCAAAATAACATAGATCCTGTCAACTACAAGTATCTTGGCTTCCTGGTTTCCATGCTCTCGGCTATGAGAGACAACTATGAAGTTCGTGCAGTTGCCCTGATATCTGATCATGGAGCTAATGGCTTACACACCAGAGCCTATTGTCTGGGGAGGAACGGGTAACCTATGCTGAGTTTTGTCGAAAGGTTTTTCGATCACTGTTGAGCAGGAAGGCATTGGCAATTCAGCCACGGTTGTCAGAGCTCATTCAATGGGGAAAAACAACAATAGCGAGAGCAGGTGATGACGACGGTGATCAGCCTATGGAGAGCTGATTCATGTCTTTCGTTGATAATCAAGATCGCTCGTGAATCCCGAATGTGGTAGCTCGTACCGCAGTGGAATTTATATATATGTAAAACAGCTGAGGGGACCAACAAGTCCCCAATGACTACCAATTGACCAATGCGGACCTTGTGAGTGGTATGCTCTCCATTTCTCGCTCGATTTCCACTTCCACCCTCGGACCTCCTGTAGAGTAATGATAAGTTACTGGATATCGAATTCAGAAACAACGAACTTCTCCCTGGCTTGTCCAATTTCTTTCTTGGGGGTGCTTTTGCTGTTGGCTTGGTTTTCCGCTTTCCAAGGACGGTTTTGGACGGTGGTTGATCTTCTGGTGAGCTGTCGTCGTCTGACTCGTCATCCCCACTCTCCTCTACGCCTAGTCCTCCATCTACTACATCTTCCAGATCGCTCAGTTCATCATCCAAATCACCATCTTCGTCTCCACTGAAATCACTAACAAACTCGCCTCCTTCAGCGTCCCAGTCCTCCTCCATCTCCTCCTCTCCTCCTCTCCATCCGTCTCGTCATCTTCCAGTTCCAACTGAGCACCAACATTCAGTTCCTTCTCCTTTCCACTCTTTTCCCGGTCGAGAATTGTTTGCCAGACACTTTCGTTGACATTGAGTGGCGCATCACCGTACGCTTTTGATTTGAGCCGCTCAATCAGCTCCTTTTCGATGGATTTTTCAAGGTGGGCAGCAGAGAGAGCCTTTCGTTCCCGTGTCGCCTCACGTCTATCCAACTTCTTTTTCACACCCACGAGCTTTGGCCTGAAATGAGTGTAAATGAGTAGTACAAGGTCACACAAGTCGGAAACGCACTCCTGTCGTAGTTTTATTCGACGCATTTTGATAAGATACTGGGTTATCTTCGTGACACGCTGCTTGCATTTGTGAATAGTAAAGTTTGGCCAATACTTGAGCTCTTTATCGATCTGGATGACGGGGCATTGTACGTCAATCGAAAGTAGCTTGAGCATAGAGTCAATTCACCTGTTCTAGTGCCTTGGAATAGTCTTTTGACAGCTCAATCTTCTCCCACATATTGACAGGTGTATGCGCCCGCTCAATCGTTTTCATGTACAGATACAGCACACCTGGGTGGACATCAATCATGACATATGACATCAAATCAAGTACACTTGCCTTCATTCTCCCTCACAGTTGCATACCGTGAGTTCGCAAGCGGACATGACTGCCGTGTACACAGACCCGTGACATTGTACTCATTCCGGCAGAAATTCTGAGTGACAGTCCTGCAGCATGTATGATGTGTGAGGTTATGCGGGGTTCATCATGGCGGTAAACGTACTTGACTTTATACGAGCAGAATTCATGGCCAATTACGGACCATATCACGTCGTCGCTCTGCATTTTTGGATAAGTTCAGCTTCTGACCTGTAGTCAGATGCAAAGGACGTTTACGAGGCAGAACTTTCGGGCTGCAGATTTCAGAACAGCAGTGGGTGATCGAAAATTATCAATGGTCACGTGATCACTGTCGAACGCGTTTTGATAAATCCGAATTGATTCAAACCAGCCCTCATCGATGGCCCATCAAAAGCTCTTACTGTAGTTGCAGGACAAATAGGATAGGATGCAAGATGTCCATATGGCTCCGTAGGTGTCCGCCTCGAGTCGTAACAGACTGGTAATCACCCGACGCAAACCATAGACAATTATTATGTTTATACTACTATGATGACGGACCAAGCGACAGTCAACCATCTGCACATGACCTCTAACTTTCAGTACCACCATCCTTCGTATCATCGCCACCGTACGATTCCACATTCATGTCATTCAATCCAAGATCTTCATTCTGCTGCCACGTTCGTTCGTATGTGACGATCTCCATGTTCGGATCTGGATCAGGTGCATATAAATTCTGCACATGTGAGTTCGCCAAAGGGTCATCTAGAATCAAGGTGAATGGTATTTCGGCATTCTTGACCTAATTTCAAAGATCAAAATGACAGTCCGAGTCGCGTGATGGTATAAAAAACATACCTGCTTAAGCTTTCTCAAAAACTCTTGAAACTCGGCCCTGTCGTCGACATCTACGACTCCAGAGTCCCCAGCGTTGAATACTTTCTCAGTGAGTTCCTCGTATACCTGATCTAAAATGCCTTCTAAAGTCGTAAAACGTCCCCCTAGTGTGCCGGGGTGAAGAACGAGGTCTATCTCCGGTATGCTGAGACCGCTCGTGTCGCTCTGCAGGACACCATTGAGTCAAAGGATCTAGAAAAAGGTATGCACCTACTTTAAGTATGTCGCGGCTAAGATCGTCTCTATCTTCAACCTTTAACGTGATCTTCTTGCCATGCTCAGAAATTGCAGCCCCTGACTTGATCTCATTATCCCGATATCCGCAGTCGTCGCAGTTAGTTGACATTATAAGAGTGTCCTGGTGAGGCTGTCAGGAATGCAGGTTCAACATGCATTCGATACACACCTTGAAATAGGGGATAGAAACTTTTTTCATGCGCGTGATAAGTGGTCGTCCGCAACGCGAGCAGATTCCAGGGAATTCGAACACTTCCTCATTCAGACCCTCTGATTCCTGTTCCGCTTCGTCTACTGCATTTCCTTCCGCGTCTTCCGCAGGAGGTGCTAATCCAAGCTGCCGGTTCTGCTCAAGCGACCGCTCATATGTGCGCATGTTCCACTTCAGATCAGACATGCTGCCCACGAACTCGAGGAACGAATTCCCAGATGGGTCGTCTAGAGTAATGGTAATTGCACGCGTGACTGGATCGTCGTTTGAAAGTTTTCTCTGCTCAGATTTGTCCTTGCCCTCGTCTTCGTCTTCATCATCGGCAATGATCTCCTTGAGACCATCAATAATTTCCTGTATTTTGGTGTAGGCGTTCTCGTCCTGAATGCGTCTGAGCGGCTGCTGTACGCTGAGATCCGCAACAATGTCCCGTAGAAGACCCTCGACAGTTGTAAGCTGCCCACGAGAAGGCGGAAGAACCAGCTGAAACTCGGGGATGTTGATACTGCATGCTTCGGAACGGATGAGCTGACGGTCAAGGTCACCGCGGTTAAGAACTTTTACTGTGTACAAAGTGCCTTCAGCTATCTCGGGGATACAATGTTAGGAGGTGGAAGTAAGGAGATGAAACGAGTGCGCACATCTGATCTTCCCTGCTGACTGGATCTCATTGTTTGAATGGCCGCAATGTTCGCAGCGGAAACTCATCACAATGACTTCCCGGAAGAAAGGGATGGATGTGAGCATCATGCGTGTGACTCCCTGACGGACATGGGTATGGAACCAGCAATCGGAATGTTTGCAAACCTACCTGCTCCCCACATTGCATGCAAAGAGACTCGATCTCTTCGAGTGGTCTAGCGGAGGTATCTTCATCTCCGGCATGGGTTTTATCAACAACGTCTGCGATAGGAGGGAAGAATTCGGATTTTTCTTCGATTTGAGCCATGTGCTAGAAGGTTAAATGGAGGAAAGGGGAGGAGATTCCGACCAAGTTCTGATGATCATATAGTCTCCCCTAAACAGACCTTAGTCACGGATTTCGAAGCCTACAATTACGTAACACAGATCTCCTCCAGACAAAATCCGTCAAGTATATTTCATTCAGTCTGGAACTGATCGTAACTTGTCCAGACTGTAATACATTAAAACTAGTCCTCCGAATGCGCATCGGCAGACGAATCGTCATCCAAGCTTGTAGGACTTTAAACACAGCCGCCGTCGCTGACCGTCAACTCCTCTTCAATGATCCCAATCAACATCTACAATCACTCTCTCAAGGAGCTGCACATTACATTCCTGCAGCCCGTCAATCTGAGTTTTTGTATGCCAACTCCACCTTCGGCTCGCATTCTGGCAATCTCCTGAAGGTCTATCGCATCCGATGTCAATACGCACAAGTTCCAGAGTACGGAGTAAGGGGTAGGCTATAGACACGCCTACAGTCATGAGCGCAAGGATAAAGCCTGCAATGGATGTCCTATTCAGATAGATACTCTCAAGCTCCGGAAGGTGGGCGAACCCTGCGTGCCAGAAATTTTGCAAGAGATCAAGGGAGGTCGATATAGACAGGTTTTGGATCTTACTATGCGGGACCATCCGACACATGTCAAATATGATGGCAGGGTTGCAAGCATATTCGAATTGGAAGGAGAGTGGTATATCGCTGTCACGAATGTTCGCTGATGACATGCTGAATTGGACACAAAATGTGTCACGAGAAATGACACGCAGGGACCGAATGATAGGAAAAGATCCGTCAGGATCCTTGTGGATGGCAGAAAATAGATCGGAAAAGCTTTGTGGGCTTTCAATCTCTATGAGGTATAGAGCGATTCTGGCATGAGCAGGAAGGACTAGATGTGAGAAGAGAGATACAGCGGTTCGGATGGCGCCATCCAACCCTATCCTTCCCAACCGAGTGAGTAGAATTTGGTCGAAGAGCTCGGTGTCCTCAGAAATTCTGGACGGCAGCCGAAGTGTAAGCAGCTCCAAGTCAGGCATACATCTCAGAGCTGAGAGGAGCTGCGACAGGGTAAGATGAGGAGAAGGGTTAATTTGTCCTAGATTTAGAGTTTGAAGCCCGCCAAAAGCGCGCGATGTCAAGATGAAGGCACATTCCTCCAGCTCAACGCTCCGAAGTAGGGGGGTGCGTCCTTGAAAGATGGTGTCTGATATGGGCCTGATGGAAATTCTCGAATCATGGCTCCACAGGACTCTATATTCAAATATCTGAAGTAACGGGGCGAGTTGCGACGATAAGCAGTCCAAAATGCGATCGACAACAACTGAGAATGTGCACAACTCGAGGACTTTGATTCGAGGCAACTGCGAAAGCAGTTGCGCCAGTGGCCAATATTCTGGCACGGACGGTGCACTGTATATGACAACCAAAGCAGCTTCCTTCGACCTCTCAAGCATGATGGGTACCCAAGGAGCAGAGAGGCAGTCGATAAATGTCCAAAGACTTGAGCACTCGAGGGTGATTTGGCGCCAGTGCCTACAAACGTGTGTGATTATCATTGGAGTGGGAGCACCACCACGACGAGGTATGTCCACATAATCCTGAAATTCTCCTCTTCTACGATGTGAAGATAGTCACGAGAATTTCGGGTGGAAGGGAAAATATAGAGGCGAGAGTATTCTCGCGAGAGTGAGCAGCGATATCTTTGTCTTGACACTGCTCAACGAGAGTAGTCTATGGAAGTGGAAACCTATCATTGATGTCTTCACGGAGGGGTCATTATAGTTTTTGTCTAATCTCACCGATTCTCACGGTCAATAAAATGTACCTTCGGAATTTCCAAGTCGAGCTCACCGAGTGAAGACACGTACTTGCGTCTCCTGCCCTCCAATCATGAAATGGACGAGCTTCAGTGTTTGTCGAACGAGTTCTCAAGACAGTTTATTTTACAGTTCCCACGTCCGCCCAGCCCCAGCGAAGCTTTCCAAACATCAGGCGCTTATGACGAGGCTGCCCTTCTCTTTCATGATCATAATAGAATGCGAGTTTGTGTAGACTCTGTAGAGGGGACACATGATTCCTAGCCATTCTATTAGCGCAAAACTCAGCTAGCTGTCCCGCGACTGCCACGTATCAACACCAGCAGAATCTGTCAAACACTCTCAGTTAATCCCTTTTGTTTGGATAGCAGGAAGACTCACTTCTCATTATACGCCCACTCTACGTTTCCCGTTGTTCCAGGTCCATACCACACTATCTGTGGCAAGTGTTCATTTCGTGTGAACGTCCGCCCACCCGTCTTCTCCGCAACCTCTCTCAATCCTGCTCTCAAATTCCACACCTCTACTTTCCCAATTCCGCTTCGTCTAGCCGCTTGTTTGATCTTCGCAATCAGCCCAGGGAACATCTCTTCACTAGCACAGAGTCGTGTGACGATCAACGTTGGTGGAGGTGGTCTCAGGTCAACGCTCCAGCTTGCGTATGTACCTGGGTCGCTCGTGGATTCTACGCCCCAGAATCCACTTGCCATGGAAAAATTGGAGGCGAACGTTGACTTTGTGATATGGAACCCGCAAACACCATCCGTTGGCAGGTATGTCGCGAATGCTGCCGGGCGCTCCACCTTGTATGAGCTGTCGCTCGTTGGCATGTTCGCCAGCTCTCTCCTGATCCGAACGGCATCACGCTCCCAAAGCCCGTTCAATTGCTCTTCTGTCAACCAATTCCATCCCTCGTCATCACCTTCCTCTGTGCCCACCTCCCAGATAGTCGAGATTGCTCCCCGCTTCTCCCATCCGCCCCCTTTACCTCCAGGGCCAGCCGACCGGTAAAACTCCTCCCCAACATCACTGTACAACACTGAGAATAGTCCATTACCGGCATCCGCTACCTCTTCTGGCGGTGCACCCCATGCTCGGGGAATTTAGGAAGATTGGCATGTGAGGCATTGACCCAATGCAGGAGGCTCATCATATGGTTTGCATAGCCGCGCTTGCGCTTCGAGGGTGGAGTGAACACGCAGGCGACACCGTAACAAGTTGCTTCGTGCACTGAGTTGGGCTCAGACGGGGAGGATGAGGGGTAAGCGACAAGACCTGTGCGCTTATATCTGTCCCCATAGATGCGCGTCAGAAATTGCCTGTTCGTTGAAGGAACTCGAGTTGCTTACGTCTCGCAAGCGCTCATAAAATCAAGCGTTGTGGGGTCATTCCGTGGCGCCAGCACCCTTCTCTCCCGTTAGCTTCTTTTTACCAGCAAAGTGGGGCGCTCACCAAGTAATCCACTTTCCATCCTTGGCGTGCTCGCCCGATTCCATCGTCGCATCTCGCGCAAGGTAGTCTGTCAGGTTCAGAGCACCACCCCATTGCGGAAAAGTCCGGCGCCGTGACTCTTCAGCCTGCGCACTCGTCGCGCGGAAGAGCGAGAGCGATGCAAGATCTACCTTAGGTTCTGCCATCGGAGATATACTTTGCGATATGAGGAGCGTTGATTGGTGAGTGAATATATTAAAGATAATGGGGTTGCAGGAGCTCTTTATATCTCTATCACAACCTCACCTCTCACCCATGTCAGGTGCGCAGATCAATAAGACTTATCCTGACTTATCATCCTTCACCAGAATTATCACACGTGGTGCACAACTCGTGACTGAACGCGCGCCGGCCTTCCACCAAATTTAGTTCACGCTGCCACCACTGCGGTGTCGCCACTGTCATTCGATAACAGGATGCTGCTATACATGTATGGTATTGACTATCATGTGTCCCTCTTGCGAAGTTGCTTTGCTGATTCACTCCCTGTCACGCATTATGGTCCTCCAGAAAAAAATAGAAAGACGGACCGCGATTGTTATTCAAGTTTGGAGCGATGAATCTGTTGTCTGATTTTGACACCACATTCGTCGCTCCCTAAACATGATTTCACTGTCTTTATCTTTGTTTGAATTTGCAGGCAAAGTTCAACTCAAGATTCTAGGCATTAATATGACTACCTTCCTCGTCCATCTAGACCAAAATAATGTTCAGAGTGGGGGTGAATGCCGATCTATCCGCCTCCGGATTCGTATGTGGTGTCTAGGGAAGAAATTCCTCAGGTTGCTCTTCGGTCAATAACTCAGATAAGAATTTTCATGCGAGCATCCGGTCAACCTCGAGCCCTGGGTTTTTTGAAGAAAAATGTTGCGAAATATGGGACTCCCTGGTACGTCAGGACACAAACTGCCTGATAGGATGCTGCAAAGGTCATGTTCAAGTACGTGTGCCCTGCAGCCAGTCTCATGTCGACAATTAATGTTCAGGACAGGATGCCCGTCATCTACTTTCCGGATAATAAGTCATCGCGAGCCAGGCGGTCTGGAAAGTAGAGTCGGGGAGGTCCTCGAACGTTTGGTTCGAGACTACGATCACAATCGCATCGACCAGACCAATGAAATTATCCTCGTTCTAAGCTACTTAGTCCACATGGTACGAGGGTAGCAAGACGCCAACGCCCATCGCCATGCACACCATACCTGCCATTACACAATACACCAGATTTCCCCCAAGATACTGTCTCTCAATGCTAATTGAGAACGCGGAGTTAGCTGCAGCCGGTCCAACAGCACGCAGAACAGAGACGATCACTTGTGCGAACCCGTTTGTCGCGCCCACGGACGCTCGGTTAGGAGAAGCTGCAGCGATATATATAAACGAGACGGCTTCCATAACACATCAGAAACATCAGTGAGAGAATGACAACGACAAACCATATGCAAAGTTTGTACAGCTCGTAAGAGCGAGCTGTAGGCCCACCAAATACCATACACTCTGAACAACGCCACTAGATCTCGCTAGCACATTCAAGGCCGGAAAAAGAGCGACCATAGGCAGGGCGCACGTCATAGCGAACAGCCAAAGTTTTTTCGCACCCATGATATCATGAAGCTTGGCAAAGGCTAATAGCTGTATTACGCCAACTGCAGTTCCTTGGACCGCCAAGATAGCTCCAATGGTTGGAGTATCGAACCTAGACCACCCAGCGATATGGGAGTAGCATAGAACACGGGTTGTACAGTGCGAAATGCGACATCAACAAGGGCAATACCGGCGTAGCTCCCGGTTGCAATGAGTACACGGCGAACGAAAAGAGCTCGAATGGGGACGGGCTGATCGCCGATCGAAAATGATGCCGGCGGAGTTTCTAGAGCGGGTGAAAGAACACTATTGCGCTTTTGCCAAGGTAGCAGTTGGCTAATGTTTATTTTGGGAGTTGTGGTCTATGATCGATGTGAAGATTCATCCTGTCACACAATGGGACAATATACCTCATTCAAGAAAAGAAAAGTGATAATCCATGATAACGCTGATACCGTGGCAGGGACCGCGCACGGCAAGAAGTATGGATATTTCTTCAGAAATTCAGAACCCCCAAAGATATTTGGGAACCTGTCTGCAGGTCGCGCAAGTCCTCCACCAATGAGTGGCCTGTAGTTGTGTCAGTACATATAGAAAACGAAAACTTTGGGGAACACACCCAAGTGTGCTACCGCTGGACCAGGCAAGAGGGAGGAATGCCCATGCACGGGCCATATTAGTGGAATCTGTCATCTCAGCCACCATGCTCTTCATAACGCCAATGTTGCCATTGAGTGCACCATTCAGGCAACGACTATTACAATAAGATGTAAACGCTGGCTCGGAGGGAAATAGCGCAGACATAGGACAGACCTTATTACCAAGGTCCAGAATGTCTTGGACAAACCGAAGCAGAACATTGAGAGGGAGAGTCCGAACAGTCCAATCAGCAGGACAGGTTTGCGACCGATATAGTCAGAGAGACGACTCCAGTGGAAAATGGTAAGCGCTTCTGTCGCAAAGAACAGCGAGTACTAGGCCATAATGCCGAGATTGTCACAATGAAAACGCTCTCCACTTATCCACTTACCAACTAGCCCAACATAAAACGAAACGAGCGCTTCATCTCCGTGGGTGATCCCAATGTCACGAATGAGCTATGGATGGCATAATCAAGTTATGATTTTGTCTATTTGAATCTTCAACGCTAAACGCTGACCTGAGGCGCAAAAGGTGAGATAACTTGCGATGTCATTGGTTCTGCAATCTGCAACACTAGGAGCATCGAGAACTGGCGCCATGGTAGAGGTGTCTGTGGTTTCTTCGCCGGCGTGTTTCCCTCTGATCGAAGTAAAGGCGTTTCCTCGTCCAGCTGCCGAGACGTAGGATCAGGAGACATGAAATGATGATTGCAGAAGTATGGGAGATGACGCGATGACCGATTGAGGGAACAATCTTATTGTGGGCGGCGCGGGCTTAGCGGTCCAACTTGTTATCAAGATCATCATGATTTGGGGGTGAACACTATCATCGCCGGGCCGTACACGCTATGATCTACCAGAAACTTCGTAATTGGTAGAACATAGTACCACGAGACCAAGAGTAACCTCGAAGCGAGAGCTCCGAGATTCTCACGTGTTCTTCTGTGTTCTACATTATGCTGCTAGCATGCACATCGTCGTCGAGCACAGCGTTGAGGCAGGACCGGTTGCATTTGCAAGTACCGCATATTTACAAGAGATATATAGCGCCCAGAGATGCACTTGGTACAATACTTGAATTAATCCCTTCCCGAATCCCAAGAGAGTTTTTGCTTTGTCTGCATGAAACATTCAAGTCCCCGCAAACCCAGATTATGAAAGTGAATTATCAGGCTTCCAACCGTATGGCATTAATTGATATCCACGTGTGTCGCGTCATTCACTGCCTCCGGCTCCTCCCCCTCAATATCAGCAATATCAATAAAACTCTGCTCTATTGCGCCTGCATACACGCCCATCTTCCACATATCCCCTATCTTGATGTTAGCGTGGTCGAATGCAAATGCGACAACAGGGTCGCCAGCCTGACGCCCAGATACAGACGGTGGCATCTTGGGGTAGCGGGCCGAGAAGTGTGTAAGGAGGATATTTTGTGCGTTCATGCTGTTCACAAGTTGAGCAAAGGTCTGTGATTATATTGCAGGGAAAATTACCTCTTGCCTATGTCGATTGCTTGCCCGAAGGTGCTGTGCATCTTGGCGCGCGCCATCTCAACTTGATCATTGGCCATGGTGGCTTCATGGATCAGCAGAGTGGCTCCAGCGCCTGCCTGCACGAGCTTTTGGGTCGGGACGGTATCACCCGAGAACCTAAGGATGCGCTGTAAGTAACACGACAGGAGAGGAAAAATCGACGCCGTACACGACAGACCACCCATCCAGATGCTTGACAATTAACCCATGGCACCTCGCGCGATGCTCCACATCTACGGTATTTATTTTCTGCAATCCAAGCGTTTTGCACAACGCTCCTGCCGCAAGCCTCGATCTTTACATCAAGAAAATAACAAAGTGCGTCAATGTGTGAGAAAATCAGGAGCTCAAACTGACACTCACCCCTTCTGATCTTGGTCACCGTAATTCCACCCGCCCCGTCCCTTGTTTCGCCAATGAATCTCATCACTCAGGATAGGTACTACGCGGGCCCGAGCATCTTCCGAGAACCCAAGCTCCTCAAGCGCGTTGTGATCTCGAAGATAGAGGAATATCATGCGATTGCTGATGAGGTAGAGTGGCTCTTCTGGGGGCGGGTCGAGCTTTTCCACATATTAGCACCAGGAGATCATCAGGGCTTGAGCAGGAACACGCACATGTTGTCTCATCGCCAAGATTTTTGCGAGACCAATGTGGTGGTCGCCATGAATGTGGCTAATGAAGATACACTTTAGGCCCCTCAAAACGTCCCACACGGCACTTCCGTAGTTTCTGGAGAGTTGCCCCCATGTACCCTCTCCTGCATCCAGGAGAATATACCCTGCTCCCGGGATACACAGGAGTGTACCAGACACTGTACAACCAATTCAGTCGGGTTTCTTAAAATGGAGATGTACGAACCATTTCGGTACTTGCTAGGTATGGCACTGCCTGTTCCAAGCGTAACCACCGTGACGTCCTTACCTATGACATCGGGTACTGTAGCCTCATCGACGCGTGCTCGTGCCTCGGAAAATTGTGTTCTCGCAGCGTCAGAGAGTGATGGGGGCTCGCCAGACAATGCGGCAGGGTGAAAAAGATCATTCGCCTCCGCCTCAGAGTCTCGCAGTGGTGGTCGTGGCGGACGGATGTCGATGATGGTGTGTGCACGCATACAGTCGGTATTGGACGGGAGGTCCTTGGCTACCACAATTATAAAGATAAGTGACATGACGGAAATTGGACAAACTCACTATCGAGAGCTTTCTTAGCCTTTAGAGAATAATTGGGCACGGGGAAAATGTTGCTATCCAGGTGGTTGAGCCTCAGCTGGTTGAACGCCGCGCTAGTAAATGTGATCGGATCTGGCACATAGTCTCTAGATGCAACGATATGCTGTTCTCTATCGCATCAGAACACCCCAGTGCACGCCAGAACATGACCCACTCACGTGTACATCATCCTCGAACCTTTTCATAAACGCCTTATACCGCACATGCTCAAATACATCATTGCCACAAAGATGAAAGACAGCCCTCAGTGCGTGATCTTTCTTCTCCGGCCCCTTGCCCCAATATTTTGAGAACGCGCCACTCTCAAACCCCTTGACGAGAGAAGTTATATGCGCAGTGCTGGGCGCATCCAGTATCAACACGACCTGTAATTCGGTCAGCCCGTTGACTCCCAGATCGAGAGCGAATGGTAGAAACATAGCACGAAAAGGAAACGCACCCCAGGATCTTCACTAGCACCTATGACATCACTCGGCCCAACACTTCTCTCCACTCCATCTTTGCCCACTACAGTTACCGTCTCTCCTCTTGCAACTCGTGCACGTAACGGCCCAGCCTTCAGACCGAGTGCCTCCGCGTGTTTGACATCAAACTTTCCCCGAACTCGCGGACCAACCACCGCATATGCGAGCGTTGAACGTAGATTGCATGAAGGTAATGAAGGTAAGGGACGGTTGAAGCCTGACGGCTGGGAGACATGTTCGACCTTCACAGACGAAACAACGGGTTTGGCGGCAGACCCAGGAAACATTGTGCGCACGATGTGTCGAAGCCATTCCTGTGCAATGTCACCGACAAGCGTGGTAGGGTCGAAGTCGGGGTGAGATATAACTTCCTGTAGCGATGGTACAGCAGGGGAAGGCGAACGCTTCCTCTTCCCCGATCTCCTTTTGACGACACTGGTTTCAGAGTACGGCAGTGTGACCGATCCCGAGGCCTCCAATGACTGATCCTCAGCAGAAACCGATAATGCGAACACAGAAATATTATCGTCCTTGTAGATGGGTATATCGTCAGGTGGTTCATCCGGGGGGCGGGAAGTAGGTATTTCGATCGGGTTCACGGAGAAGTTTTCCCTATGCTGATAGCGTTACGATGAACCATTGAATATCAGAACACAAGTACCTAAATGTGTATTTACGCATAACTGCCATGAAGTGCAACAGCCCAGCTGGCCCGGCAATATTGAGGCTGGTAAGACCCGAGTCCGCAAAAGTCATCAATAAACCTGGCGAAGAAACGATCGACAGTTGGCATGCATGCACATGATCAGGATCACACTCACCTGGAAGGCCGCTAGCTCGCTGAGTGCCTACAGAAGTCAAGAACACGCCTCTAGTCTTCTTCCAGTTCCTCCTGCTCTGGAGAAACGCGCGGGTAGTATTCTCACCGACATTAAAGATGTACTTGGCAGAGTCAAAGGTGATGACAACAGTAGGCTCTGTATCCGAGGATATGGAGCTGAGGACTGACGCGTTCCAGGACATGGGCACTGACAGTGATGAAGATCGTGAAAAGAATCGTGCTGAAGAGTAGTGAAGAGAACGAGTTATGTGGGATAGTATATACAAGTTACGACCACATGACCAGATAGCCAGACTGATTGAGACCTAGTCAGACTAGGTTTTCTATTTAACAGATGAGATCACAACACGGTTTTCGTGACTCCTAGCCAAGCAGCAGAAAATAACGTCAAGTTGAATGCTTACGCGATGTGCGCTAGATGGCTCTGGTAATTTGCCGCAATTTGCCGCATGGCACAGAATTTCAGAGGATAATCGATATAGGGTGGTACATAGGGAAGTGACGGACGAGACTTAGGGCATAAAGTGAAACTGAGCACCCATGTAGGTAGGCAGAGAAGTAGATAGGTCTGCATGGTCTGCTTTGAAGGGAAACCATACTTAATCCAATACACATACGAAATACCAACGAAAATCGCTCAGATCCCTAATCTTCGGGGGAAAACATACAGCTACAGTATTTCTATCGTCCTGATGTCTATGAGGTCTCCGACAGAAGCCATATCTTTGACCTGTGCAATGATGTCACGATCCGACGCAACCCTCCTGTATTCTCCGCCGCGCTGTCGCGCTAGCAAAAATGCCCCGAAAGGTTGTCCAAGGCGAACAAGCAAACGCAATGCTCGTGATTCTAGATCGACCTCCTCCTGTTTTACAAGAGAACGACTAGGTGAGTCATCTGATGGAGAAGGAGGCGTCCAATGATCCCCCTCGTTTTCCATATCGTCCTCAACGTCGGACAGATCTACAAAGTCTGGTAGCTCGAGGAGAGACCGATCCCAGGGACGAACAAGCACTAAGGTTTGCTGAGTGAGCCTTGTCCGTGACAACTGAACAATCGGCTCTTTGGTGGTGATCAGCAGGTCACGAAGCCCGTCCGCCTTGACTTCATATCGAGTCTCCTGGGATGGACCCTAGCTCAGATTGACGTCTGTGACATGAAATACCATGCAAGGCAGATGCAGTCTGCAGTTTGCGAAACGAGCAGCGCTCGTATTATCAAGTTGGGTGTAAATTTTCGAAGCCAAATCTACAGCCACGGGATTTCTTTGTAGCGAAGAGATGGTTGTCTGAATATCATCTTCGGACAAAGATGGAAGGGTGCGTGGAAGAGTGGTGTAAGAGGTAATATAGGCTGGAAGACAGCTATTGAACTCGGATGGTCGTCCGATCCAGTCGAGGACAGTGATGTCGCCCGACCGAGCCACGATCTCCTGCAGGAGCCGCCCAAGCGCGTTCTGCTTCTTCTCGCCGTAGATTACAGGCAGGTGGACACCGAAGATACCAAACAATGAGTACGCGATGTCTTCCTGCAATGTAGTGACGCGTGGTGACGCCCATTGAAGTCTCTGTCGGGCATTGCTCATCCCTGGACGGAAGGAGATCAGGGCCCGTACATCTATTCCCGTCGCACTCTCCAACTCCTCCATGATTGCAGAGGACTTTTTGTGGTTGGGAGACCGATCGCCGAGATATAACGACCAATCCTTCTGATAAAAGATGACAACTTTCAGAGCGACAAATTCTTGAAAGGTCCATCCTCGCTTGTTCCAAACACTCCTCGCCAGTGCACCGCGCTGGGATGATGGAGGAACATCCCCTAGGTAGACGATAGTAAGCGCTGAGTAGCGGTACCAGACGAACATGGAGTTGACCGATTCTTGAAGCTCGGTATTACTCCTCTTGTCGATGCAGCATGTGTCCATCCATGCCCAGCAGTACCCAGTATCACGAACGATTTTGCAGAACGACTGCAGTTTCGCGATGCCACCAAGTCCATTCAACTCGTACACGATCTTGTCCTGGATATCGTGCAGCAGCACCTCCGTCTCTTCCCACCTGTGTGATAGCAGGACGCAGCGGAAGTACGTCGCCACCGTGTCTTTGATGCGCTTCTTTCGGAGGCTCGAATCCTTCGTTGGAAATGAGATAAGCTCATGGTACTCTGGGCTCGTTTTGAAAGTATTTATTTGTGCCGTTCTATCGCACAAAAGTCCCGTATAGGTATTGAGCAGACGAAGGGGGGCATATTCGAGTTCAATCCAAACAGCTCTTTGAATAGCGTCTTCTCCTTCGGATGGAGAAACATACTGCTGACGCAGATCTGCAGAACGGGATGGACATTTCGAGACGATGCAGAAGTGTTCCATCGCTTACCTCGTATCTGCGCATTGGGAGCATCTTCCAACTTGGACAACATGATTGTGAAAGCCTTGATGGCTTCGTCGTAACGTTGCGCGCCACGCAGTGCTGTATGTGTCAACTGGTATCCAACATGGGACGAAGGACTGAGTTCGGTGACCTATACATCGCCGAAGTCAACATGGGCTGGGAAAACGTAGATGCCATCGCACCTTTTGCGCGTCGAGGAGTGCATCCTCCCATAGCATTTTGCCTAACTTTGCCTTGCTGCGATTTGCAAAGATGATATCGGATGTACAATCCAGGTCGATCGCCGCCGAGTATAGGTCAATAGCTCTGTCATACTCGTTCGCAGTGAGGGCGGCATCTCCGTTGACAGCGCAGAATGTGCTGCATTCTTGCTTGAAATCTGAGAGAAATGCAGATGAGAATTGTAGCATGCATGACAATGCGGACTCTAGACTTGCCATTTGACCAGGTGAGGTAGTCGGCCTTGGTATTTTCGTCACTTGAAACCACCATGTATTGGTATGATTTAACCGCATCTTGAAGTTTACCCGCCCGAAGGAGTGCATGACAACGTTTCTGGTGTGCAGTCAACCAGAAAGATTTGAGATTCCAGCCGAAGAGCTGGATAAGGGACTCAGTTATGAAAAGCATTTCGGATGTGTACTAACGTACCGCCACCAAGTCCGCATATATTTCATGAATAGGCCACTCCGATGATAAATTGCTGGAGTTGAGAGCAGCGGTGAAACGGTCAGTGTCCTCAGCATGATGTGTGCCATCCAAGGCTTTGATTCCGAGTTGAACACGTAGATATGCCTAATGTGCTAGTTAGTGTTGAAACGTCGATGGCTCAGCGTGGCTGCACAATACTTCCACGATATGACATGCGCGAGTATCGGCATTCGGACAACCAGTAATGAGTTCTTTCAGAAGTAGGTTTGCCTCGTCATGTTGATCTGCATCGAAAAGGGCGATGGCCTGAAATACGGAATGGAGCAGAGAGCATGCGAGGCAACTGTAACATACCTTGATCAAGAGCAGAAAATGAACCGTTTGTGAATCTTGATTAGTGTACATGGATGCCACATCAAACGCTGCCCTCGCATCCAGGATGCGGCCTATTCCGCAGAGGGCAATACCCTTGGAGATATAACCTGCCAATGAGGGCTGAATGCTGATTGACTATGTCGCCGTCGAGCCAGCCTTTCATAGAGATGATGGGTCAGTGAATCTCACCTTGATTGCATCCTGAAGCGCGTGATCCCAGTCGCGTTTTCGCGCCATAACGAATGAGCGATGGGCGTGCGAAGTATAGTTGTTCGCATCGGCGTCAATCTCTCGTGTGAGTAGTTCTTCGGCGGTAGACAAGTCTCCATCTATGCATGCATCGCGGGCTGTCGTGATGGCTAGGATCTGCACGAAACATGCTCGTATTGTGGTACACGAATCAAGGACAGAAACGTACCTTTGAATTGATGTGTTTGGGTACTGCCCATTCTGAGATCATATGATCGTCACCGCCGCTGAGGATGTGCTTGCCGTCCACGGAGAAAGTGACACAAAACGTCCCATTTGAGTGCTTGAAGATGGCAATGGTTCGACGGTCTGAGAGCCGCCAGAGACAGACATGGCGGTCAGGAGATGCCGAGGCAACGAGTGTGCCAGCAGGATTGATGGTGATGGCATTGATATAGTCAGTGTGGCCCGTCCAAGGAACGCCGACCTGCTGCCAGGTTGTTGTATCCCATTCGCGTATGGTAGGGTCGGCCCTATTGCCGCCTGTGAGAAGGTGTGTGCCATCCGGCGTCCACGCAAGTGAGTGGTTGTCTGATGTGTGAGCCTTGAAGGATGTGATGCGTTCCCTCGTGGCTGGATTATAAATCTGGATATTTTTTTTTGTTGCGATAGCAAGAAGTTCCCCAGATGGCGAATACCGTGCACAGTAGACACCACTACCACACTTTATTGAATCTCCTTGTTGCTCCCAGGTTTCGGTGTTCCAGAGTTTCATCATTTCGTCATGTGAACCTGTAGCTAGCACTCTTCCATCGGGAGAAAAATCGAGCGAGAAGATCTTGTCGGAGTGGGATTTGATGGGTTGGGTGAGTGATTCGCCAGTTTCTCCGTGCCAAACGATGAACTCTGCGCCCCAATCACTGCTTGCTATCAAATGCCCATCTCGTGATACTGCCAATCTCATTACCCTATTACGATGTCCCTCCATCTTCTTCAACACAGTACCTGTCTTCAAGTCCCACATACGAAGTATCTTGTCGTACGAGCCCGTAATCATCCGTCGTTTATCGGGGAGCACTGCAACTCCATCCACGAGTGTTTCATGGTCTTTGAACTTTCGCAGGGGTGTAGTGATTGGAATGAGCTTCGACATTTTACTGGAGGTTGAGCACGGTCAAAGTGGAGGGATTGTGGGTGCGTGTTTTTTTGGTGGAACAATATTATCAACTAGCAATTGACAAAGTCAATACTAGAAGGGGAGCGGGAGTTTCACCTGTGTGGGACTCAACGTTGCGTCTTGTTCGGAATTACCTATTCCGTCCCGAAGGCCAGATTGTCGGAAAGGCTGTCTTCGTCTTTTATTATTGGGAAGGCCAGGTGGCGCCCACACTAACCTGGAATGTCACAGTACTTTGTATGTCGACTGAACGACCCATCAACATCTTCCATCCTTTACAGTATGCCAGCCCATTCAACTCCCTTCCATTATCCATGTTTTTCAGTCCTGCACTCCGAGCTGCTGTCTTTCATCTTTTCAAGCAACTCTGGGATCGTCTCCCTAGGCGTCATGATGTGTC